GGGTTCGCTTGAAAGCCTCGGACCGACGCGCCCACCGCGAGGGTCGCCCCGAGTGACCGCAGAGGGTCTCTCCCAGACGGGGAAGGTGCCGGGGTCCCCCAGGGGAGAAAACACCCACGTTAAAGGAATGTTCCAGATCCCCCGGCCAGGGAGCTTTTCCTGCGGCGCCGCACCCCGAGTTCTCGAAATGGGGGTGGCGGAGGAGGTGGAGAAGACAAAGGCTGGCACCTGGCGGGTCTGTGAGAGCGCCGAAGCGGCTTGAGATCTTATTAAGCAAAGGCCAGGCTCCGAAGAGTGAGGGCAAGGGGGCTGGAAACCCCAGAGTGTATAATTCTGTGCCCAAATAAAGCCGGGGGGAGGGGGCACGCGAACTCTCGCACCGCCCTGCTCCCCACCCCACCCGCAGCAGCCCAGCCTCTAGGGCCTCAACGCCGGCCCTGTGTAGAGTTTGGGGAAATGGTACTTTTATGGTTTTGCTTCCTGCGTGGTCCGCCTGCCCCCTGCCCACTGCCTGCGCCCCCAGCCGCGGGCCCCTTGGAAGAGGCGGCCCGGCCCGGCCCCGCGGCCTGCAGGCCACCAGCCTCAAAGCCAGCATTGTCCGGCGGGGGCGGGGAGGCCAGCGGACCCTTGCTGAAGAGTAACACTGAGCACAACTCCTTTTGGTGAAAGTTTCCCAAATGTAGCCCTTGTGGTAAAAGACTACTTTGAAAACCCATCACCTGCTCCCAGTCTCTCAACCTTCACTCTTTTAGGTTCTTAGAAAGCGAACTGACTGGAAAGGCACTGGCCAGCGGCGAGGAGGCCCCAAAATGGGAACCTGGCTGTAGCATGGTCAAGGAGAGGGTTTTAAAATGCGGGTAGGAGGAGAGAAGGGCGATGTTTCTCTCCATCCAGATCTGGCTCGGGACCTGGCTCGGGAACAGCTGCACAGCCGGTGGGGAGGGGAATGAAGGAAAAGGGGGTTCCCAGGGCGCGTGTGCGGGCGAAGCATTTCGCACCTCCGGTTTATCTTAGAAGCCGGGCGCCGGGAGGAGGGGGCTGGGTGGTGAGCGAATTGTTCTGCTTCCAGACGGGGGCAGAAGTTGAATAAAATGGGGAGGCGGGCACACGCAACAACAACAACAACAACAACAACAACAAAACTGCTGTAGGCTCTGGGAATCTGTCCTTGACCCAAATTCTAATTGGTGGGGTTTTCCTATGTGCCAGGACCCCAAGTCTGAAGACCCCAGAGACAGCGGTCCTGTAGTGCCCGCCAAAGCCGCACTGGGTACCGTTAGAATTAGGATTCTGGGGCAATTGTGATTAATCCTTCATTCAAGCGGCTGGGAATCCTTCCTTCCAAACCTGGTTGTTTGCATTTGAGGGGCCTCCGGGTTTCTATCAAGCCTTTGCAGAATAATGGCTTGAGTCCCTTGCAAAAACAAACAAAACAAAAAACAACAACAACAAAAAAAACAAAAACCCTCTACCTGAAACAAGTATATTCCCAGCTGCTGCCAAAAGTGATTTCATTTAAAAAATAAAATCAAAACAAAATAAGACCCCCAAATGCAAACTAAAATATAACCCAGTCCCCTGCTACCCTTGTCCAACAACCAAAGTGACCGAAGGGGGTTGTAGAAGTGTTTGTGGCTATTTGAGAATCTGGGTGTGGACTTTAATGCCCCATCGGCAATAGAAAAAGCTGAAGGGGAAACCGGAGAAAAGCTCTAATGACTACTGGAAACTTTAGGTGGTTGCTAGGATCTGAGGACCACCATCGCCACATACACACACACACACACCCCTCCAATAGAATGTTTGGACTGAGGATATAGGGGTGGGGGGGGGAGTTGCTACAGCGAATGGAGTCCACATCTGTGGAACTTCCATATCGAAGCTGTTCATTTACGGGAGCCAACTTATGAAATCTCCACAATTAGATCTTCATTGTTCTTCCTCCACAACATTGTCTAGAAAGAAAAGGTCTTCGCGGTCGGGGCCAATCCAACGAAGCGTTTGACGTTATTAAATAATAAAGCGATTGTGATTTACATTGTTGTTCAGAAAAAAAGGCCAATTATCCACTGTTATGTTGCCATAAAGATCATATTAACTCGAATTAGTAATCAAACAATATGCGAGCTTTAAAAAAAAAAAAGGAGTACAGCCGAACTGGGTGACAGTTACCGCGACGTCTTCACTTTCACCAGCAGAACCCACCCGCATCGGCTGCGGGAGCGAACGAGGCAGACACCGCAGACCCGAAAGGAGAGAGAGCGCGGCAAAGTGGTGATTAACGGTCTCCGGTGTTAATTATTCTCAATTAATCCCAAACAGTGCAAACCTTCCGTGCAAGTTCCCTGATTCTGGATACTCTGAAAATTGCACCTTTCTGGGAGGGGTTTCTAAGAAATCAGGAAGAGGCAGGGTGAAGCAGGCGTCCCCGGGAGCGAGCAGGTAGGGGTGTGGGTGCGCGCGGATGTCGTGCGTGGGGATGTGGGGTTCGCCGCCTTTCCCAGAGCCCGCCGTGCACCCCGAGGAAGATGCCAGGGTCGGCTAGGCCCACCACATCCCTGCTGTACTCCAATCACTAGCGCGCCCTCTTATTAGGTTTATAACTCTTTGCCCACTTAAATTTGTGCAGCCAACCAAGGAAATCTAAATAGGTTTGAGTCGCCCCTTGGGTACTGCAAGGAGGCTTTAATAAGAAAGATTAATTGTGGGTGTGTACCGGCCGGAAGACGCGTTAACTATCAAGCAGCAGCGGGCTGCGGGTCGAAGGGCAGGGGACGCCTCTTGCCCTGGGCCTAGACTTTAGTAGGCGCCTTAGGCATACGGCCGCAGGCCACCCGGCGACTGGCTGTAGCCACAAGCACAGGGCTTCGCAGCTCTCTCACCAGTGTTGTTTGAAGTTTTAAAGAATTTGGCCTTTACTCGCCCTGCATATCAAATCCCCTGGCCCGGAGCCCCACCCTGCTGGACACTCAGGCGGAGCGGTGGGTGTGTGGTGGGGTCTTGTGACCGCAGTCCCAGGACGCCTGCCAGCTCCCGCCCCCACCCACCGAAGGCCGTTTAGACCAAAGATGAAAACGTTTTGCTGGGGGGGTGGGATCCTGGAAAGTTGATGTTTTTATTGCCATATGAAAAAATATATGGCTGCTTTTACGTGCGTAAAGAACAGTGAGCGATTTTCTCTGAGCGAAAGCCTTCAGCAAGTCACGGGGCAGGGAGAAATCAGCTAGGACCCAGGACTCCGGGCTCGCGGCCCGCAAGAGGTGCTGAGGCGCTATCCTCTCCCCCGCGGGGACCTTTCCTTTCTGCTCCCCATCCTGCTCCAGCCCAGATCCCAGGCTAAGTGGAGAAGCGGGGGCGGGGGCGGGAGTTTCAGGTAGCAGTTTCCCTAGTTGCGTTACCTTCTTGAATAATTCCGTTTAAGACTTGAGACTCCAAGGCCTGGGTTTACAAAAGTGTAAAACGAAATCTTCGAAGGTCTGGCCCTTGTAGGGGCCAGGAAGCCGAAGGGTGTTCCCATCTTTGTCCAGAGTTTTAAAAACAGTAGCCGTCTTCAGTAACCCTCTTCTCTTCCTCCCACCGCTCTCCCAGGATTCAAAAGGGGATGGGACCGCACTCTACGAGATTAATGTCCGCTCATTTGCAGGATTAGCCCTCTCACACAGCATAATAAAATACTAGAGGTCCTTTTAAATTTAAACAAATACATGAAATTCATGCCTTCTCTCCTTTCCTGTTTGATCTCAGGACAAGGGAGACAGGGTCCTGGGACCTAAGTAGTCTCAGAGAACTTTTCAAACTCAAGTTTTTCGAGCACAGCTTCTGTGGGGCGGGTGTGAGTGAGCACCGTCTTGGGGACAGAGTGGAGAGGGCGGCTTACTTTTCCTATCTAGAGCTATCTATCCATTTTGGTTTGGGACTCACGATTAAAAATCTATTTGTTCCTCCCAGCGCTCAGCAGATTTCAACGTTGGCCATAGGAGCCACAGAATGTTCATTAAAGGAACCTAACCAAGGCTACTGTATGGCCACTTTGTGAACTCAGAACTATGGATAGGGGAAAAAGTATGAAAGTGTGAGTTGATGTCACGCTGGCTGTCAGTGTGTGGTCTATTGTGGAGAATGGTGCTTTTTGACTGAACAGAGTGCGCCCCCTCCCCCTTTGCCCAGCTCTACTGCACCTGCACTGGATGAGAGTTCCCTGCCATTCAGCCCATGAAGATTGTTCAAACAGAAGACATCTCTGACAGCACTCAATTCATTACATTTCTTCCTGCTTTTCAAACCAACACACACACACACACACACACACACACACACACACACACACACACAAAATGAGTATTGCCAGCCAGTGACAGCCAAAAAAAAAAAAAATCTTAAAATACTTTATATGCAGCTAATGTGGAAGGTCATACAACTAACCATGAAATATTTTATATCCTTAACTTGGAAGGCTTCTTGGAGAGAAAAAAAATTACCTGATTTTTTTCCTACTGAGAACATAGCTCGCTAGTTTACAGGGGGAGACCAAGTTTGTAGAAAGAGGCTGTTCATGGGGCAGAGAGAAGTTTCCATGGGAATAAAAGCATAAACCTGCAAAAGAGAATAGGCCCTGATTTATCTTATCAGGAGGGCCTACTTGATATGCATTCATAATTTATGCTGGAGAACCAGCTTGTTAATAGAGGGAA